CCCCTGGCTTTGAGCTGTTTGAGATGCTCATATTCAGTAGCCGGTTTGTGGGTTTCGTTTTCCTTTCCATTTCGTTGTAAATTGATGAGTTGCGCGTCTGAAAATATAAGGCTGAACTTGAACACATGAATGGCTTTCTTTCTTTCGTTATTTGGTAAAATAAGCTTAAGTGAAAAGAAGACTGAGGCTCAAAGGAAATTGTCAGAAATGTAAGCTTATATTTGTGCGCGATCGATGCAGTCGCTCCTTCGAGCGGCTGTTTCTTCAAATTTCAAGAGTTCAATTCACGAGCGAGCGAGTCGAGCGATCGAGCAAAACTGAAAGCAGGGAACTTGAGCTAAATAATTCATCAGAGGCTACCAATATTTGATAAAACTTCCTTTATTAAAGCTCAGAAAAACTATTGTCTTTAAAGTTTTTGGAACAGAATGATTTCGTATGCAACACTTATAACAAAAATTTGTTTAAACTCTCATGTACAAGTTTTGCTCTCCGAAAGCATTTAAATGGCTTTCGACGCCAAAAAAGTTTTACATTGAAAGCTTGTGCTGAATTTTATTGTCGCCAAATCGCTTAAAAATTCTCTCTAAAATTCCCGCTTTTGATAACTAACCTCGAAAGGTTGATACAGACCAGTTTGTTGTTTTTTTGGTCCGTCTCTGAGTGCCGAGTGCCTTTGTTCAACCAGCTGATTCAACTCCTTCTCGCTTGAGGACGTTCCCGCGAAATTTTCTACTCGATAGATTATTTTTAAACTTTTACTGCGGACAGATAATGATATAATTGTGTGAGAAATGAAATAAAAATTGAGGGTCACCGACTTCGTTTCAGAGATCAAGCGTATGGAAAACCAGTCTGATTTTGATAAATTGGTGCGCGTAATTAAGCATGGTCTCCAGCGTTTTTAGGTTAAAATATCAAAGATAAGTCAACAGAGGGAAACTGTCCTAATAATATTTTGTATAAGTAAATCTGTGGCGTTAATAATTCCAAACATTGCTATCATTTTCACAAACCTTAACCCTTCAAGAGGCATTTGAAACTGACGTACAGCTAAACGAAGAGGTCAAATGAACGGAATTCGATGGTGCGTTTTGCAAAAAAACTTCTACTCGATAGATTTTCTTCATTTTTTCGCGAAACGTTGAAAATCGGTAGAGAAAATGGCCCATCAAAAGAAAAATAGGCGTCACCGAACGTCCAAGATCGTTAAATCCACTCAAAGTTGTAGCAGTGGCAATTTGTCCTATTATTGTTCACTTTACTACTTAGCGCGCGCTCGATGCATGACGTGGTGTGTGAATTATTTCGTGCGCAGTAAGGATTCCCAGAAAAAATTAGCGCCAACGTCCTTAAATTAGCAAAACTCTAATCAGGTGGAGGCCTTTCGTAGCTCACAGGAATAATCTTCCTCATATCCGGAAGAATGATTAAATCTTTCCATATTTTAGGAGGGAAAAAATAGGAATTATGTTTTAAGAAGTGTCAACATCGATGAAAAAATTGGCGAGAAAAAGTACAAATAAACAAACTAAAGTGAGCGTGCAACCCACGGGCAAATGGATCGAGCGTATTAGCCAATCAGAACGCGCGCTTCGCTAAGGCTATGTTATAATTCTTCTCGGCAATTTCTTTCATCGATGTTAACACTTAAAATTAATTCCTATTTTTCTTCTTCTGAAATATGGAAAAATCTAGTAGTTATTCCCGAGATGACGAATATTACTCCTGTGAGCTACCAAATTCCGAGCTTAGGTTTATGCCGGGCCTCCACCTAAGTAGGCTCGATTTCCCAGCCGTTTTGGGAGTCCGGTTGTTTATCCTCCTCCCAACGAAGAAAAGGAACACGGGCTCACAAAACGGCTGGAAATCGAGCCTACCACCTAAGAAATTTGCAAATTTAAGCGAACGGGAGAAATGAGGTGGTTGAACAAAAGCACTCGGCACTCGGAGACGGAATAGAAAGCCATTAAAGGACGGTGCCTACTAAATACAAAGGCTTTTGGGCCAGGTTTGTACCACGCGGAAAAAGTAGATCTTTGCAAGGACTATTGGAATCCAGAAAGAAAAATTGGGGTAGCCGCGCATTTTTTCGAGATAGTTTATAAGTTAAACAAGACTTACCTGTAAGTTGAAGTTTGACTGTAATTCTATGAGATACCAGTCACGAACTAGGGAGTCACGTGAGATATGTGCGAGTAGCTCGAGCGATCAGTCTTCAAAGAAAGCGAGTGATTGCAAACAATAATGGGTGGGAAAATAATAAGAAGAGTAAACTACAGAACCCGGTGAAGGGGTAGGGCACGTGACTTCCCTAGTTCGTGACTGGAATCTCTTAGAATTACAGTCAAACTTCAACCTACAGGTAAGTCTCGTTTAACTTATAAATTCTATTGCGACACCAATCCCACTCACTAGTGAGCCACGTGAGACTTCAAATCGTGCAATCATGAGCGAAAAAAATAAACAGAAACAGCTTTAATTGCCAAAATATTGGTGCAAACAGCTACAGTATATGGCTTGTCAG